ACGACAAACTTAAAATAAGAAAAACAATTATGACGATATACCATATTTTATTCCCAAAATGACCCATCTGTCTCTTACCACTTGATAAGGTTGTCTGTCAAACAAGGTGGGTTTTCTCAGGTTTTCCGGTTTCATCTCACTGTTAAACACTCCTTCGCACAAGCGAGGTAATGAAATAATATTGAACTATATGTAAGTCCCGAAATTACTTAGTTAGTGTTGATTGTTTTTATTTATTTTAAAATTAATGCTTTTCCATGTCAACTATTAAGTTATTGCGTATTTACTTACTGTACAATGTTTTATTTTAAAATTAACGAAATTGCACATGTTTCTTTCCAGTGTGTAATTCTCGAAGCGACACTTCTCAGTTTATCAAAACTATCATTTGTGGCCTGTTACAGCTCTGTCGGTTTCTTTGATAATATAAATAAACAAAAACTTGATTACCCAATCAACAATCTTAACCCCATTGATTACTTGTTAAGTCAGGTGGAATGTTTATACGAGTAGAGCATTACACATTTGTAATAAACATGTGCATTGTAATAAACATGTACAATTTCGTTAATTTTAAAAAAAACATCGTCCATTAAGTATATATGCAATAACTTAATAGTAGACATGAAAAAATAAATATAAACATATGCATATGTGGGAGGAAACTGGTGACCGTGTCTATTCATTTAGGTGGTAATGACATCGCCGCGACATCGTCACCTGTGGGTATATACCATAGAATACTTAGAATTTGTTCAATAGTGATGATATTCGAAGAATCGGTGAAATATTGAAAAGAGGGTTTTTGATACGCCCACATGGAAATGTGGTCGTATATTGCCGTCGCCCCCCTCCGTCCGTCCGTCCATCGTCCACAATTTCTTGTGAACACTCTACAAACTACATTTATCAACCGATTGTTTTGAAAATGAAATATGTTGTTTGCATTAGTGAGATGAATAAGCCTATTTAATTTCAATAACTTCCGTTAATTTCTTCTGGAGTTATGGCCCTTGTATGAAATTTATATGCATCATTTAAATTAGTAAAACAGCAATTTCCGTTAATAACATCTAGAGTTATGGCCCTTGTTTCACTTTGTTGAATCTTGTGAACGCTCTAATGACAAAAGTTATCAACCGACCTGTATGAAATTGATATGCATCATTTAAATTAGTGAAATGAAGAAGCCTATTGAATTTCAGCAATTTCCGTTAATTTCTTCTTGAGTTATGGCCCTTGTTTCACTTTTTTGCACCTTGTGAACGCTCTAATGACAAAAGTTATCAATCGATCTGTATGAAATTTATATGCTTCATTTAAATTAGTAAAACTAAGAATCCTATTGAATTTCAGCAATTTCCGTTAATTACATCTAGAGTTATGGCACTTGTTTCACTTTGTTGAATGTTGTGAACGCTCTAATGACAACTGTTATCATCCGATCTGTTTGAAATTGATATGCCTCATTTAAATTAGTGAAATGAAGAAGCCTATTGAATTTCAGCAATTTCCATTAATTACGCCGTGAGTTATGGCCCTTGTTTCACTTTGTTGTACCTTGTAAGTGCTCTAACTACAAAAGTTATTATACTATTCAAAAAAAGTAGGGGATATTTGATTTTTAAGTGTTATTAAAGTCACCTAATGAAACTGACGAAGAAACAAATGACAAAATGAAATGAAGTTCACATTCATCGATTTATTCCAAATGATCGTTAGACTAAGTAAGGCACAGACTGACCATTATAAGGGTAAAATGATACCCGGGGTCAAACAGCAAAGTTACAACAGCATCACAACCAAGTCAGTTACGGGTAAATCCTCCTCTGTTTGCCAAACAAGCATTGATCCGACGTGGCATACTCCTAATGAGACATCTAAGGTCATTTTGGTCCAGATTGTCCCATTCCTGTTGCAACGCAGCAGCAAGTTCTTGGACATTGGCAGGACGTTGTTGACGTTGACGTAACCTCTGTCCAAGCATGTCCCAGACATGCTCGATGGGGGAGAGGTCGGGACTCAGTGCTGGCCAAGGTAATGTGGTGATGTTCTGTTGTTGGAGGTAACCTGTAACGATCCTGGCCCTGTGACATCTTGCGTTGTCATCCTGGAAGATGAAACGGCGGCCATGACGTCGTGCGAACGGCACAACATGGACTGCCAAGATGTTGTCCCGGTAGTACTGGCCTGTAACACGCCCTGCAACAACATGTAAAGCCATTCTTCCGGCAACAGTGATGCCTCCCCACACCATAACAGAACCACCCCCAAATCGATCATGTCTGATGACGTTAACGTCTTGGAAGCGCTCGTTTCGACGACGCCACACCCTCCTACGTCTGTCCAAAAAATCAACAGTGAACCTTGACTCATCTGAAAACATCACATTGCTCCAGCGTCGATTATCCCAGTGTTGACGATCCCTACACCAACGACGTCTTGCCTGAATGTGATGATCTCTCAAACAAGGGATCACGCGAGGACGTCGGGCGCGAAGGTGACCCCTATGCAGTCGATTCCGAATCGTCTGGCCACTCACTCTCACACCAGTGTCTGTTTGAAGACGAGCGCTGATCTGATTTGCTGTGATGACACAATTTCTCAAGGCCAAGGTACGGATAAATCGATCCTGGGCTTGAGTTGTCGCCCTTGGTCGACCTGAGCGTGGTCTGTCCTGTACAGATTGTGTATCACGGTATCTGGACCATAGCCTGCTTATGACAGACTGAGAAACATTCATCGTCCGCGCCACAACCGCCTGTGTTGTGCCGATCTGTAGCATGCCAAGGGCACGTAACCTTTCATTTTGGGTAAGCCGACGCATATCAAAATTTGTTTTCTGGTCACTAAAACAATTAAACTGATGTTTCCACCCTGGAATTCAATGCCACAATGACTGTAACATTCAAAGTCAGAGTCGTGCAAATCTTGGGTTGGACCCCCATGATGATCCCAAGCATCACCTGCATTCCATGCGGTAGCTATTGGTGCGTTTGGGTGTCACATGTAACTGGAAATGTTTCTTCTCTTAGGTTCTATAGTGACTTTTTTCGTAGTCATTTGCATATTTTAGTATTATGCCCCCAAAATCAAATATCCCCTACTTTTTTTGAATAGTATATCTGATCTGTATGAAATTTATATGTTTCATTTAAATTAGTAAAACGAACAAGCCCATTGAGTTTCAGTTATCACCTAAATTAGTGAAATGAAGACGAACAAGCCTATTGAATGTCAGCAATTTCCGTCAATTTCGTCTAGAGTTATGGCCCTTGATTTACTTGGTTGAACTTTGTGAACTTTCGAACAATAAAAGTTATCATCCGATCTGTATGCAATTTATATGCATTATTTGAATTAGTAAAACGAAAAAAGCCTGTCGAATTTGAACAGTTTCTGTAGATTGCTTCCAGAGTTACGGCCCATGTTTTAGTTTTTAGAACCTTGTGAACCTTCAAACAACGAAAATTATAATGTCATCTGTATGAAATTGTCTGTTAAATTCCCCTAATTACCTACAAAAGAATAAATATGTGGCAACCCTTGTCGACTTATCGGACGATTTAGCTGCTGTGGGCGTATGTTTTGTTGCCTGGCAACCTATCTTTTCAAAGGCGACTGGTTTGGAACCGGAATCATTTAAAAGACAAAGAAGAAGCGTTCATAAGTTATTAAAAGACATATATAAAGATTTGTGTGCTTTCCTGACATATTATACCCAAATGATTTATACAGGACCGTGTGCACTTGTCGACAGCGTGTTATCATACTAAAATCACCAGGATGAAGAAATAATTATAGTATAATAGTAGGGGAGCTAGCTGACCGTTATTCCTAAACTCGCAGACAAAATTGGCACTATGCCTAACGGAGGCACCATCATGGCCGATGATCAAAATGGGAATTGTTAAGTTGCACATCCCCTGGGTTTAGGGGCCGTACGCCCCCGAAATCATGGAAAAAGTTGATTTAATTCAAATTTTTGTGGACAAAGTTAATCTTTGCTACATTTGTTCACGTTGCTAAGGCAAACTTGAAAAGTGCCCTTCAGAACAAAAAATCCCCTGGTTTCTGGCTTCAGAACGCCCCCTAGTGACCCGAGTGTGTAGGTTTATTTCAAAATATGACGGACAACTTTGATTCCTTTTTCAGCTAATAGGGTATGGTCCCAAAGTAAAAAAAACACAACTTCAGAACAAATTATACCCTGGGTTCCTACTCCAGAACAGGTTCCAAGCTGAACACATCACAAAATTTGTGTTTCAAGTATGGCGGACAAAATTCTTCTTTCATGAGAATGGTGCCACCATTGACCTATGAAGTGCCCTCCAGAAGAGAATATCATCTGGTTTCTGTATTTCAGAACGCCCCCTAGTGACCCCAAATAGACATGTTTATTTCAAATGTTACAGACAACTTTGATTTCTGTTTCAGCTGATCGGGTATGGCCCCAAAGTAAATCAAACACCACATCAGAACAAAAAATCAGCTAGCTCCCCTACTATAAGAAGACTTTTAAGTAGGCCATGAGACCGTTAAATGAACATTTTTAAATTAACCTCTAAAATACTCTTTTATTTTGATGCATTTTTTAATCTTTGTTAACTTCTTTTAAAACTCTTTTTTGTCTTGGAAACAAACTGCAATGCCCAACAAGATGATTAATCTGAGTAGCAATCTAAAATCTGTCTGTAGTAAAGGGAGATAACTGCATAAATATTTTAATTTTCTGTAAATTATTGAATATTTGTTGCAATTATTATACTGATGTGCTGCAAATGTGACGTCACTTGTAATCACATAATTACTTCGAATTTATTTTTATATCATATTAGAATGAAAACTCATTTGTTAACTAAATTTCTCAGCATCACTTGATGATGAAAGTTATACAAATTTTCAATCCTAATTAGCTGATTTCATAATGCAGTGTGATTGAAAATGCCAAGAGGGTTAATATAAATAACTGACTATATTTGTTAAATTCTTTCATCTAGGTCTCCTCATTATGCTTGTCCAGAAGTAATACGGGTAAGCCAATCAGAATGTTTATTTTAAGGCTCCTGTTTTGATGTTTTTGTAACTTTGTTTTTATTTTTATTTTCTAAGTGTTTGACTGGGTTTATTTTGTAGTTTTACTTGTTTGTTTTTTTGTTCTGTTATAATTTTTAATTGACTAAAAATGCTTGGGGGTTTTATTTAAGAATGTTATTTTTGACGCTATTTCAGTTTTGATATTGCATCCTCTTTAGATGCCCACCTTGAAATGTGGTCGTATATTGTTGTCAGATGGACTTTAGATTAAAAACTCTTGTGGACACTGTAGAGGCTCTGGTTAATATCCAATTGATACACAGTGTTTAGGGTCATGAGATGAAAACCCCTATTGATTTTCAACGATTTACAATATTTACTGTCAGAGCTATGGCCCTTGATCACTGTGAACAATCTTGTGGATGCTCTAGAAGCTAAAGTTAATATCTGAGTGACTTAAGATTTGTACACAGTGTTTTAGAATCCTATTGATTTTCAATGATTTCTGATAATCACTTCCAGAGGTATGGCCCTTGATTACTTTGTAAAATCTTGTGGATGCTCTAGAGATCAAGGTTATCATCTGCTTGATTTTATATTTCTACAACCTGTTTCAGGACAGTAAGATGACAAATCCTATTTTTTTTCCAAGAAATATTGCTGAGTTATGTGCCTTGATTGCTTCGAAAAATCTTGTGGACACTCTACATGTACAGGCCAAAGTGATCATTCGATTGACTTTGTATTTATACATAGAGTCGGAGGTCTTGATACATAGAATTTGATTGATTTTCAATGATTTCCGATAAGTTGAGCAGCTAAATATATGATATTCAATGTTTTGTGTACTTAATGTTAACAATTGGCATGGGGCAGAACTACGACGGGTGATTAATACAGTAGAATCTGCATTAAGCAGCCACCCAAGGGAATTTTCACAACTGACCACTTAACGGGAGTGGCCTTTTAATAAAATCTCGGTGCTTTTTGTGTTGACATAAATTAAATATTACGCTTGGATGCATTGGAAGCGGTAAATTTGATCGTCGCTGAATCTTGCGCCGAACGAAAATTCTTTACTCAAATCTCGGACATAACTTAACGGGAGTGGCCTCTTAATAAAATCTCGGTGCTTTTTGTGCTGTCATAAATTAAATATTACGCTTGGATGCATTGGAAGCGGTAAATTTGACCATCGCTGAATCTTGCGCCAGACGAAAATTCTTTACTCAAATCTCGGACATAACTCCTGTAAACTTGTCATTTTGTACCAACCTTCGATACTACTGTCTACTATTGTGATGCATTCGATAATATTTATCCATTTTTGTGAAGAAAATCGATGAATTAATTTAATTTTATCTAAAAAGCACATGAACAAAAAAACCATCGCTGATTTTATCACCTATTTACAGGGGGTGTAACTCTGTATGTAATATTATAGGCGGCGCTAAAACGTCTGTTTAACAACAAAGTGGCAATGGAAAAGAGGTACTAAATGATCGTGACAAAACTCGGTACTTTTATTTTATTTAATCAGTATCAAACGATGTGTCGTTACGCGTGAAAACAATGATCAGGTTAGTCGTTTAATAAACAAAAGATTAATTAACAGATAATCCCGGGTTGATTGTTATTTTTACATTTCTTTTTTACCTAATCAGTGGGGGTCCAGTTAATTAACTACTACTCATGGGATTAGTGCGGGTGTTACAAAGAACGACAAGATGGTATCATCCAACAATGGCCGTGGAATGGGCGATGTTTTGTTGAATTTATTAGTAAAATAGTGACCGCTGGCCGCGTTAGAGGAGTGACCGTTGAATAAAGAGATGAAACAACAGAATTTTTACGGGGGGAATTTATCGTGACCGCTTACAAGGAGATGTCGCTGAATAGGAGTGGCTGCTCATACAGATTCCACTGTAAGTAGGAGCCTCAATTGGAAAACCGTGCAACACAATGATACTACGTTTTGCACGTGCACTATTATGTTCCTCAGGCTCTGTCACAAACTTTCATCACATTCGGTTAAACTGTTTGGTTGTGACAGGTCATAACAATCAAGTAGGGTCTGTTGTTATCAGAAAATGGACCATATCGAGGCAAGAGCTGTAATTAAGTATCTGGATAAAAAAGGTCTAACACCGAAAGCCATACATGATAATATGGTTGAGACATTAGGAGATGATGCTCCTTCATATGCCACAATTAAAAGGTGGACAGCTGAATTCAAGCGTGGCCGAGACAGCATTGAAGACGAACCACGCCCTGATCGACCAAAAACTGTGTAAACACCTGAAATGGTACAAAAAATCCATGATCTGATACTGAATAACGGCGAGTTACTGAACGATTCATAGCTGGGGTGGTTGGTATTACCCAGGAGAGAGTTAATTCTATTATCACTGAAACTTTGGAAATGACAAAGGTTTCAGCACGATGGGTGCCAAAGCTTTTGACGCCTGATCAAAAGCGTTCAACTATGGAAGCCTATTGCGGCCATTTCAGAATCTCGTCTTCTCGCCGCGAGAAGTCGAGGGCGAGAACACGAGGAAATAAGGCGAGAATACGAGGATCTCGCACCGAAACACGAGATTACTTTCACCTCGACTTCTCGCTCCCTCGTGTTCTCGCCTTTGAAAAACCTCATGTTCTCGCACTCTCGCCCTCGACTTCTCGTCTTCTCGCCTTTGAAAAACCTCGTGTTCTCGTCTTTTTGTGTTCTCGCCTTTGGGTTAATCTCGTCCTCTCGTGTTCTCGCTCCCTCGCTTCGTCACAATCTCGACTTCTCGTCTTCTTGTGTTCTCGCCTCAGAAGTGCAGTTTATACGCATGTCCACTGACTACCGTATCGGCATTTATTTTTGGACATGGATTATAATAAACGGAAATGATTGAAGTTATAGAAATAGTCCTAAACAATTTTAATCTCTTCTTGCACAGATAGTATTGTATTCCGTAATCGATTTTAAGTCTTCAGTCGAATCTATCTTTGCTCTCTATCTTCAATTACCTTCATCGGGTTTTTTCATGCGTGGACTTGTCAGTGCTGTAGGATGTAGAGCCTGACAAGGGACAACGTATAGTCGTTCGAATGGAATTAAAAGAACGAGGTCCCGTGCCCGGAATCGAAATGAAGTTGGCTCTACGGTGGCCCAGTGAGTAGGACGTTTGCTTTCTAACTTCATCTAAGTTCATCGTGATTTTTCTGGCGATGGAATACAAATAACCGAGATCCCGTGTCCGGAATCTAAATGAAGTGTGAGCTACGATGGCTCAGTGAGTAGGACGTTTACTCTCTTACTTCATCAAAGTTCTCCTGGATTTTTCGGTCGGGGTTCCTACTTGTCAGTGGTAGAGTCGTTTGAATGGTATAAATTTAAAAAACGAGGTTCCTTGTCCGAAATCGAAATGTGAAGTGGGGGCTACGGTGGCTCAGTGAGTAGGACGTTTGCTCTCTAACTTCATCAAAGTTCATCGTGATTTTCCTGGTGATGTCCACCCTTGTCAGTGGTGTAGGACGGAGAGACTGGCAAGAGACAACATATAATCGTTTGGATGGTATAAAAATAACCGAGGTCCCATGTCCGGAAACTAAATGAAGTAGGAGCTAGGGTGGGTCAATGAGTGGGACGTTTGCTCTCTTACTTCAGTGGTTCGGATGGTATAAAAAAAATGAAGTGGGAGTTAGGGTGGCTCAGTGAGTAGGACGTTTGCTCTCTAACACCATTAAAGTTCAGAGCCACGGTGGTTAAGTGGGTAAGACGCTGGCTTACTAAACTGGAGATCACGTGTTCGATCCCTGCATTGGCCGAGAAAGTTCATCGGGGTTTTCCGACGTGGTTTCCCCTTGTCAGTGGTACAGGGCGGAGGGCTTAGCAAGGACAGCTGTCTAGTTGTTAGGAAGGGACGAAAAACCGAGGCTATCAATTGGCGTGCACGTAATTGGCAGTTTGAATTCGATATAAGCAGAGGCCTTGGTGCCGCTGCCCGGGCACAATTTTCCGGAATCTAAATGAAGTGGGGGCTACGGTGGCTCAGTGAGTAGAACGTTTACTGTCTAACTTCATCAAAGTGCATCGGGATTTTTCTGGAGATGTCCTCCCTTGTCAGTTGTGTAGGATGGAGGATGGAGGACGGGGGGGGGGGGGGGGGGGCTGGCAACGGATTACATGTAAACCCCTAAACGCAAGCAAATTATTGAAATAAAATTGTTAGTCCCAGAATGACCTGGTTTGTGCCTCTCTTTCACACTCATTGGTGTCCAGGTACAAGAACCCTTTACCGTTAGAATTCGAAATAAGAGTAGGCCCTCGTAGCACACTGCATGACGTATATTCACTTTCATTAGCTCAGTTGGAGAAGAACAGTATGGGTTTTGGTAGCCGAATGGTTAACGCATTCGCATTTGATCATAAGGACTGTCATTGAATCGGGGTGCTCTCACTTTCCCAGCAGCTATTGTTTTCCAGGTAACATCATTGGACCAGTACTAATTAGGGTAACAATGCTGTTAAAACTATAGTCTTTTTCATATCAATATTAACCACTTTACATAAACGTTATTTTATTAACAAATTTAGCATGTACATATATATTTTTCATATCAATATTAACTACTTTACATACAAGTTATTTTATTAACAAATTTAGTATTGTACATGTATATTTAAAATCCGACTTAATGTGATATCGAATTTCCATATTCATATAAAGTCGTCAAACCTGTTCATAATCTTTGTTTTTCATCATGTATTCTTCTGTTTAATTCTATGTATTTTCTTTTCTTTGGACTGAAACGCCTCCATTTCCATATTGTAAAATTTGTATCTCTGTGTAACCCTGTTCTGACGTAGTTCTATGAATCTAAAAATATTCGGGTGGTTTGACGATACTTTCTTTAACTTTGAATGCCAACTTTCAACATATTTTTGGTTGTTCTTGCACCTTCAGTGTAGAAGTGGTTCCATAAACTTATATCTACACCTTCGACCC